TCTCTCATCCATAGCCTTCTGACATGTTCCAGTCTGGTCTGTTGCAAAGCTCACTGCTTTGGTCACAGCTCTCAGTCTCTTTTCTAACCCTGTCCCTTTAACCACAAGCATATTATCTGGATAACCTGGAAAAAAGAGAAGACAAGTTGTTCTCTGATGGTGTCTCAGTTATCTTTTGCTCTTGTAACAAATCATTACAAACTAATGATTTTTTTGGTGGTGCTGGGGATCGAACCCAGGGCCTCATGCATGATAGGCAAACATTTTACCACTAAGGCACTCATCATAAACTTAGTAGTTTAAAACAACACACATTTTTTTCACCTAGAAGCTCCATAGGTTAGAAGTCTGACACAAGTCTCACTGGGCTAAAATTGAGGTGTCGACCTGGCTGTATTCCTCTCTCCTTGAGAGAGTCGAAGCAATGCTGCATGGGAGGCTGTGTCAGTGAATAAGATATTCAACAAGTCCTTGGATGGTGATGCTCCCAGGGAAGCAAATCCACATCCAGAATATCTCATATGGGGAGAACAAATTACCATATCCCCCATGTTAAAAGGCATCCAATGTAACTAACCTGCCTCAAGTGGCTAATTCCCTTGCCAAGGATTGGCTCCAGGTCAGGATCTCAAAGTTGGCTTGTCAGACTGAAAATCACCAGTGACAGACAATACCTTGAATAACTTTGATAAGGAGAAGTACATATCCATGAATCCATATAATAACCTCTGTTCTTGCCACCCTGGCCACTGTGTTCATGAACCCATGGGGTAAAGCAGAGGTGGCTGAGAAAAGGAGCTCACCAAATCAACAGAACAGCCCATATGATCTACTGATTATTCAGAGTCTTATCTTGGGTTGGGGATATAGCTCAGTTGGTAGAGTGTTTGCTTTACCTACACAAGGCCTTGGGGTCAATCCCCAGCACCACATACACACACACATGCAAAAAAAAAAAATGTGGAGAAAAGAGTCTTATCTTTAGTGGAGGCCCTTTGGTGAACATTTGTGTTACAAGCAAATAGTCATATCTTGGCCCAATCTGAGAGGTTAATCTGTATCCCCCCATAGTGAACTCCTTGTCACTAACCCTGAAGTTTTTTCCTTCTAAGTCCTTTATTATCTGGTCAAAATATTAGCCACTGCCCATGAATCAGTATGGATCTTATCTCTGGCCATAATAAACAAATAGATGTATCTTTTGAAGTTCTGCCCACTGGAGGGATTTTTTTTTCTTTCCATGTTGTTTTTCAGGGCCACTGTGAGTTGAGCAATAATGCTGCAGTTATTATCTCCTGAATGGTGCCAATATGTGTTACAGTACACCATGCTTGGAATGAATTTTTTTCACGATCAGCTATTCACAGGGAACTTCCAAAGAGCACAAAAGGTGGGAGTATGGGAGGAAGCAATGCAGGAGTAGGTTCCAGTAAGTCTGGGCTTCCTGGCTATGCCAGGTTATACCTTCAGGAAAGGTTTGAAATGGATCTAAATGCACTCCACACACCCAACACGAAGGCTTTAGATAAGGCTAGTTTATTTTGGGTGATTCAAATCACTTAGGTGATATCCTTAGTCAGATGTTCAGTTTTTACCAGGCTACAGGAGGGAACCAGGAGCTATTTATTGAGAGGAATGAGGCCATATGGCAGAGCTACTTGCACTCCAGACCAGATTAGCTGCAGACCTTTGCATTGAAGTTTACAGTCTCATTGGTTATTTGGCAAATGGGCAGAGTAGTTGTTTACCTTGTCTTGTGCTTATTTCTTAGTGGTAGGGATTACAAGGTGAGCAAGCAACATATTTTTCACTCTGAAGAGGCTGTTGTTCCAACAGTCCCCAGAATGTTGTCTTCCAAAGTCTACTTGTCCTTAGGCCAATCATTTCAGGTAGCCTCAGGTCATAAATTAAGTTACTTGTTTTTTTGTTTTGTTTTTTTTTGGTATGAGGGATTGAATACAGGGGCACTTGACCACTGAGCCACATCCCCAACCATGTTGGGGATAAAATAACTATTTTATTCAGAGACAGAGTCTCACTGAGTTGTTTAGGGCCTCACTTTTACTGAGGCTGTCTTTGAACTCGGGATCCTCCTGCCTCAGCCTCCCAAGCTGCTGGGATTACAGGCCAGTTTTTAGGAGGTAACTTGGACCTTGTTGCTTTCAAACCCAGTCAACTAGGATAACCACTGTCAGATCCCTTCCTTGAAGGTCTCATACATAATACTAGTTGTATTTTAATTTTGTACAAGTGACACTATATGATATATGCTATTTTATACCTTCTAGCACCACTTATAAATTCACCATCTGGGCAGGGGATGGATGAAATGGTACAGATTCAAAATGGGACAGGTGACTCTACATCATAATCTTGGGATAGCTAATTTTTCCTTTTGCACCCACTTAGTGCTTGGGGTGCAAAATGAACTGCCCTCAGATGGTCACCTTTACCTGCTGGAGATTTGACCCAGTGGCTTGGGGCTTGTTTAAAATAGGTTCTGTCTTGACCTGGGTCAGGAAGGAATGCCTTGGTTCTGCTCCTAGGCACAGGTCAAGTCTGGCTCTTGATGTTGGTTGCCTATTGGAATTGCCTAGGGAGCTTTTCAAACATTTCCCCTGAGTCCTCACTTTGGGGAGCCTCACCCCAGAATAACTGAATCAGATTCTCTGGGGAGGAGGCCCCCAGTCCTCAGTATTGTTTGTTCGGCTCCTCAGGTGATTCTAAAGGGCAGCCAGTAAGTTATAGCACACTGAGGAAGGAACTTGGAACTGGGAACCTGCAGATGTGGTTTCCTGCTTTAAGCTTCCAACTCTGTGACCTCAGTCAGGTCACATGATCTCTGTGGCCCTCACTGTCCAACTCTCTGAGCCAGAGCCAATGATATCCACTGCCTTGCATACCTCACAGGATTGTAATGAAAACTAAATGCATAAGCACCCTGAGAACTGTAAGACATTGTCTAATGGGAAGGATAATCATATCAGGTGCACAGTCTTGGGTTTCTCTGATCAGCTTGACTCAACTGTGAGTACTGCTCAGGCGCTGCCAGGGACTTTCTGTCTTACCTTCAGGCAGGTCCACGTCCTGTAGCTTTGCTGGGGTCAGTCTGTCTTGTGTCTGTCGGCTTCCCATCCCAACTCCTGGCAGCTGGGCCATGTGTCTCTCTCTCCTTTCTAGAAACCCAGGAAAGCTGGGATTCCGTCATAGGAATTAGATTGCCAGCCAGGGTGGCACAAACCTTTAAGGAGGTTCCTGGAACCTCAGAGGCACCTGTGTGGTCTTGAGAAAGTCCTTTTAATGCTATACTTATGTTTTTGGAAGATGGTGGAGAGGGAGGGGGCAAGAAAACCACTTAGAGTGTTTACCTATCACAAATCTCAGAAAAGTAAAACTCAACTATCTTTCCGCAAATGTTTGTCTCTTGCAGACCCCTTCAAAGATGGGGGAGGTGACTGGGCATGGTCACACACCTATAATCCCAGCAACTTGGGAGGCTGAGGCAGGAGTTCAAAGCCAGCCTCAGCAACTAAGTGAAGCACTTAGCAACTAACTCAGTGAGACCCTGTCTCTAGATTGAAAAAAGAAAACATGGGGGAGGTGGAGACAAAGTGGGGGTTGGGGAGAGAAGGAGAAATAAATGAAGCAARTAATTGCTATGTATTTTTTTTCTTCAGGGAAGGTACATTTAAAAAGGGTGAGAAACATCTCACCAGAGCCCCTTGCTCTGGGATAGGATGTTTTCCTGCATTTTAAGGGTCCTAGCTGGGTACCGTGGTGCATGCCTATAATCCAGTGGCTCAGGAGGCTAGGCAGGAGGTTGGCAAGTTCAAAGCCAGCTTTAGCAACAGCAAGGTGCTAAGCAACTCAGTGAAACCCTGTCTCTAAATAAAATACAAAATAGGGCTGGGGATGGGGCTCAGTGGTTGAGTGCTCCTGAGTTCAGACCCCAGTACCCTCCCATAAATAAATAGATAGATAGATAGATAGATAGATAGTTGAGTCCAGAGGGTAGGGGACCTGACCCTAACAGTTAATCTCTCTTGGAACCTGGCTTAAACCTTGGTCAGGAAGGATGATCCATGCTCCCTTCACTTCCCATCCTCTCCTGACCCTTCTCTCAGGGTCCTGCATGGATGATTTCTATCCTGTCCCTCTGGAGTTGCCTGTTCTGGTGTCCTCTAGGTCTTAGGAGATCAGGCCTTGATGGTGCTGCCTTTAGTTTTCTCCACTAAAGACACCCCTATTCTTACTTTGTAAACACACTGCATTTCTTAGGTAAAAACATCTTCTGCTATAGTTGAAGATTCATAAGGTCATCACACATTGTGTTCCCTCATCAACCAACCTGTTGCCTCCTTCATCCCAGCCTGTAACACTTATCACCTTCTAATATGGTATATAATTTGCCTAGTTATTATCTTTATTGTTTTTTTACCTATTTCCCATCACCAAAATATAAGTGCCACCAAGAACGGGGATTTTGTCTGTTATCGGCCTCTAGCAATATAAAAACTACATTCCCATCAAATGTAGGAGCAGAGACTAGGGACCACAGGTTTGGGGACAAGAGTGAAGGTTGGGACTGGAGAATTCTGTGTGGGAAGCCCTGGGTGGTGGGCCAAGGATGCAGAGTGGCAGAGTAGGAGAAGGTCAGTTTTGTGCTCTGGCCCTGCCTCCTCCTCGCTCCTGGACCCTCTGTCTTTGGCCCCACTTCCTCCCCTGGCTCAGATTTTTGCTACTGAACAGCTGCCAGTCAGAGGTCCTGTATCATCCTTAGGCCTCTTCAAGGGAAAGATTTCACAAGTGTGTGGTGTTTTCCCCACTACTGAGGGCCATCTGCTCACATCTGCTACTCCCTCTAGGTATTTTCAAGAACCCAGACCCTCTACTGCCTACTTTTTCATACTCATATAAAACCCCTGGGGTCAGAGGTGGGACTGTAGGATCAAGGCATTTGCCCTGCAAGAAAAAGCCAAGGAAGACTCAAAGTGATGTCTAATGATCTTGGAACTTTTATTGGTCCCTTGCTCCTTGAGGGTCCCCTGCTCCTGCTGCTTCAGCGTCTCAGCACTTTGGTGTCATTGGTCTCAGACACTATTTTGCCATCCACAATCCTGCGGGTGGTGGTCTTTTGGATGGTTTGCATGGAGTTGCTGCTGTCCAGGGCATCATTGAGACTGTAACAGAAGACCAAACCCTGGTCATAAACAGCCCCTAGAGAAGATGGACAAGAAATGGCAGAGAAAAAGGTCTCCTGGCCCTTAAATTTATGTCCCAATTTCCCTCAGTCACTGCCTCCAGAAAAGGCAAGGCCAAAAAACCCAAGACCAAACTTTACTTTTACCCAAGGATAGCTAGGGATAATACTTAGCCACCATTCTCTTGTCATGGGAGGAAACTTCTGTAACCACCATTCCCTTGAAGACTCAGGAACACCCCAGACCAGCCCGTGCTCAGTGGAAACCAATGAACAACTCTTTAGGGTTTCTAAAAACTCTAGATTTGGGGAGAATACCCCTGCTTCTGTAGTGGGGAGACCCCCACTCACTTGAAGTCTTCTCCGTCTTCTAACAGGCGGCGGTAAGTGGCAATCTCAGCCTCCAGCTTGACCTTGATGTTCAGTAGGGCCTCATAGTCCTGGGTCTGGCGCTGCCCCTCTGCTCGTGTCTGGGCCAGTTCTGATTCCAGGTGCAGCAGGACCCCATTGAGCTGTTCCATCTGCATGGAGTAGCGGGCCTCCACTTCCCTCAGACTGTTCTCTAAGCTGGCCTTCTGCAGAGCACAGAAAGGAGGGGTGGGGTGTGTTGAGTTCCAGGCTCCTCAGTCTTTACTCTCTGAAACTTTTTTTCTTTTCCAGTACTAGAGATTGAGCCCAGTGGTGCTACCTATCATTGAGCTACATTCCCAGCCCCTTTTTAAAAAGCATTTTTTTTTTTTTTTGAGACAGGGTCTTGCTGGGTTGATGAGGCTGGCTTCCAACTTGTGATTCTCCTGCCTCTGCCTCCTGAATAGTTGGGATGACAGGTGCATGCCACTGCTCCTGGCCCTGAAACTTTTTTGAGGACTTACTGTTTGCTAAGTGCTAGGGTCGGGGGAAGTGGTGGGAAATGCAAAGAAAAATGATGCTGTAAGGAAACTCATGATGGGAAGGTTTGGATTGAGGCAGAGTTGTGCCCAAGGCCAGAGGAGCTGGGACAGGTGATGAGAGGGTGCTCACCAGATTTCTCATGGAGTCCAGGTCAATTTCCAAGGACTGGACTGTGCGTCTCAGCTCAGTGAGTGTTATCTCAGCAGCTCCAATCTCAGCTGTCTGCGAGGTGACCACTGTGGTGCTTTCCTCAATCTGCAGGGGGGTTAGAGTCATCAGGCCCCTCCTTCCCTGGGTGCCTCCCTCCACACCCTAGCAGCCAGCCCTTCCCACTGCATACCTGCTGGGACCAGTACTTGTCCAGCTCCTCTCGGTTCTTCTGAGCCAGCTCATCATACTGAGCCCGGATGTCTGCCATGATCTTGCTGAGGTCCTGAGATTTGGGGGCATCCACCTCCACAGTCAATCCAGAGTTGGCAATCTGGGCTTGAAGGCCTTTGACTTCCTAAATGAGACAGGGCTCAAGATCAGAGTTCTAATCAGGCCCTTCATCTGTGGTGGGCTCTTCTCAGAGGCATACTGGAGCAGTCGGAGAAGAGACAAGAGGGAGCTCAGGGCTTGTACTCTCCAAAATGCCAGTTCTGGACTTCTGCTCCAAAAGGAACACCACCCACTCCCTGCCTGAGCCTGGCACTCACAGGTAGTTTGCTCTCTCTTCACTTCACCAGGTCCTTCCATCTCCCTTCTTCCACAAACCTGCTACTTATACCTCTTCTAGAAAACCCTGTTGGTTCTGCCATCAGCCCTAGATCTCAGTGCTGGGGGCTTTTCTTTGTGTCCTCATCTCCTCTTGCTCACACCAGCTTGGCTTTATCACATTGTAATTCTGGTGAGCCACAGAGCACATGTGTTCTACTGGAACAGGCTGATTAAAGCTCAGGATGGTAGGATTTTGCCTGGAGCCTTACAGGCAAGTGTTCTGCCACTGAGCTACATCCCCAGCCTGGAAGGCTGGTGGTTCTAAACTTCCCTAAAAGGCCGCTTGCTGTTGGCCTGCCCCATCTATTTCCCCCTCTCCACTGCCTAAGTCCCCCAGGTCCCTGGCCAGGACAGTGGCCCTGCTTGCCTCCTCATGGTTCTTCTTCATGAAGAGCAGCTCTTCCTTGAGAGTCTCAATTTCCGTCTCCAGCTGCAGCCGAGTGATATTGGTGTCATCAATGACCTTGCGGAGCCCATGGATATCACTCTCCACAGACTGGCGCATGGCCAGCTCTGTCTCGTACCTGCAGGTGTAGAGGTATTCAGAAGGGTCCCCCATCTCTGACCCACAACTCACCTCCTGTGCCCATTGCAAACCAGCAAGCAGAGTCAGAAATCATATGGTAATCCCCTGGCACATGGTGGGGGACAGCATTCAACAGGGTTACATAGATGAATAGTTAAATGAGTAAACAGACCCTAACTCTCCATTCACACCTGAATAAGATCCCATGGAAAGCTTCAACCTAACTCAGCCCTGGAAACAGACCATTCTTAGCTCCATACCCGGCCCCCCACCAAACCCCCAGACTTACTTGACTCTAAAGTCATCAGCAGCAAGACGAGCATTGTCAATCTGCAGAACGATGCGGGCGTTGTCCACAGAATTTGCGAAGATCTAAGGGGATTGTGGACAGAGATTGCTCCATGTGGGGAAAGTCAATGATGGGTGGGCTGAGTGTGTGGAATGTTATGTGTTTCAGTGAAACCTTTCCAGTCCCAGGATTAGCTAGAGGCTTGCCCCACTTCCCTCCCTTTCCTGAACTCTCAAATCCCAGTACTCTGCCCCTCCTGCTGGACTGGCTGGCCTGCTAGAGGAAGTTCTCTCCCAGGCCCTCTCCTGGCATTTTTTCTCAGCGCACCTGCTCACCCCCTGCTCTGGGCCCCCCACCCCAGTATCGGCCCCTCCCACAGGTAGGCCTTCTGTTTGCTCCTGGATGACTCAGCCTTAGCCACATCCGCTTAACCCTCCAACTGTCCCCATGTAGCCAGAAGCCAGTGTCTAGGTCCACTTTATGGCCCTTCTCTCATCTTCCCCCACACTGTCCACTCTTGCAAAGCTCATGGCTGTCCCCTTCCCACTATCTCCTGGGGAGGAGGTCTCCCTGTCTCCCCACTATCCTTGGGGTTTTAGAGGCTAGGGGTGAGATGGATATTAAAAGGGTAGAAGGAGTCAATGCACCCTATTCGAGTAAAGTCCCTATATCTGGGGAGGGGGGAGGTAAGAAATAATGGATGGCCCGACATGGCCGGGAGTTGGGTCCCCTCCGTCCCTCCACGTCCTTTACCTGAGCCCGCAGCTCCTCGATGGTCTTGAAGTAATGCCCCCAGTCTCTGACCTGGGGTCCCTTCTTTTCCAGATGTTCTCGGATTTTGCTTTCCAGCCTCCGATTATCTGTCTCCAGGCTCCTCACTCTGTCCAGGTAGGAGGCCAGGCGATCGTTCAGGTCTTGCATGGTCTCTTTCTCGTTCTGGATGCCGCCCATTCCCGACAGACCCCCGGCCATCCCCGTCGCCGAGCTCCCGGACCCCCAGCCGCCCCGGAAACTGGAGGAGCGGGACACAGAGATCCGGGAGCCTGAGCCCCCAGCGCCTGCATAGACGCTGGCCGCGCTGCTGGCGGGCCGGACCCGGTGGCTGGGCGACCGGACGGACCCCAGGGACCGGTAGTTGGTGGAGAAGGTGGTGGAGTGGGTGGTGAAGCTCATGCTATCCGGTAGGAAGGCGAGAGACCAGGAGTTAAGGTTCAGGCCGCAGACGGTGGCAGTCTGCGACCCAAGTTATATCACCGAGGCAGGGGGTGGGGACCTCCCCCAACAGGCCACGCCTCTGCCACCCGAGCCGCCGGTGCAGCCTGAGCCACAGGTGGACCGCGGCAGAGCTGTGCGCCCTAGGTTCCGGCCCTCCAGGGCCACCTCCACCCCACCCCCTCACCCTTAGCACAGCACTGCGAAGGCCACACTTGCTGGCCAGAAAGGGGTGACTAATCAGGGTCCCAAAGGGCAGCAGGTGTTTTTGGCCTTGAGGCTGTGGTTTCAGTCAGGAAATGACGTGTCTAGTACTCCCCTTCCCCAGATAGAGTAGGGTGCTGATAGATTGAAAATTTGGGGGGTTCTGATGGTATGAGGTGGAGTGGAATGTGGGTCTCACTATGGATCCTCAAACTGCCTCCCAAGTTCCCTTCCTGGAGCGGGATGTTTGCTGGATCCTGGAACCGTGGGAATTCTGGGGAAGAAAAGCTTGGAGCTGGAGAAGCCGAAGAAGAGAAACAGTCCCGAGCCTCAGATGTCCTGTTTTGCATTCACTGCAGCCTGCGCTTATCCACTTGCCCACAGTCCGCCCGACCACACAAATGTGTATGACCACACAAATGTGTATGACCACACAAATGTGTATTCGTAAATACAAGGGACACGTTCCCTCACCCAATAGGTTCAGACTCCTAAACAAACTCTTGTCTCTTAACCCCCTCTTGCATTTTCCCCTCCCCCAATTTACTCCTGGGACCCCTGGCCAGAGTGGAACACTTTGTGATTTAGACAGGGGGCAGGTGACCACTTCCACACCCCAATACCAACATTCTTGAGTAAACATGCTTCAGAAGCACTTACAATTTGAATATTTATTAGGCACCTACTGTGCACCAGGCCCTGTTCTAGGAGCCTCTTATATTTGAATATAAGAGACCAAAATCCCTCCTGGGAATTGTAATAGGTCCCAAATGGTTTGGGGCCTGAGAGGACAGACAACACCTAGAAACATTCTAGCTGAGACTCTAGCCTGGTCACCAGTCCCCCTCCTTATTAGGACTTTTTTTTTTTTTTTCTTTTCCTGCCCCTTTTCATAATGCTTTCGGAATTTCAAGCTTGTCCCCACCCCCTGCTAAATGAACTGGGAGAATCTCCAAGGTTCAAGTCATCAGTGCCGGCAGCTCGTTTTTCTGGCAGGACCTGGTTCTACACACTCGGTCTTGATCTTTGCTCTGGAGTGGACCTATTGATTCTTATCGAGCTGCCAGATGAACAGAGGCAGTGGGGACAGACAGGAGGGTAGGCCTGAGAAGGGAAGGGACCCTGGGAGGAGCCTGGCCAGTGGACCAGGCAAGTGGAGGTACAGGGTATGGCTCTGGATTGTTCCAGGCCTGCAGCCTTCTGATGGGGAAAACCCCACAGTACTCCAGGGGAACTGGCCAGGGGAGGGTCAGGGCCTGGAAGACTGGGAGGCAAATGGGATACAAAATAACATACAAACAATGCCCACTGGTTTTGCATGAAGACTTGTGGGATGTTACTGGTTCTAGCCTGCTTTCACCTTCACTCCCAGAGGGTTCTAGAATTGTCATTTTGTACAAGAATTATGCAATGAAGTGTTTAGATTAAATGTTACCTCGGACAGCCTTTTGCTGCTTTTAAAGTCAGCAACTTGGGCACTGTGCTGGCTGTATGACCTTAGAAAAGTCACTTTAACTCTGAATTTCAGTTTCTTCACTGAATATAATAAAGTCTGTCCAGTCTGTCTCTTTGTATGGCAATGGATATGAATGTTAATTATCATGCACTCACTCCTCGAACAAATACGAATTACCTACTGCAAAGCAAGTCTCCTACACTCTGAAGAGGCAGAGTTAGAGTGTTGATTTTTTTTTTTTTTTTGTACTGGGTATTTATTACCAGGGATTGAACCAGGGACATTTAACCACTGAGCCACATCCCAGGCCTTTTTATATTTTATTTTGAGACAGAGTCTCACTCAGTTGCTTAGAGCCCTCACTAAATTGCTGAGGCTGCCTTTGAATTTGTGATTCTCCTATCTCAACCTCCTGAGCCTCTGGGTTACAGGCATGAGCCACCGCACTATTTTAAAGATGGCTCAAGGGATATGAGGTCTCTAAATCATGTAAGACTCCTGAGGGACTTTGAAGTCTATTAACAATGAAACAGATCCCAGAATTCTTATCCAGGCCCTTTTGCAGATCTCCTTCTAATCCTTGCCCCACCTCAGCTGCTTGGGGCCTTCTGGGGCCTATGGAGGCTCAGGCTGGGGCCTGGGGGTGGAGAGCTGCCAGTTGCACTTTATCTTCCATAGCTAACGTTGATGACCACATTCCTGACCTCTTGCAGCATAGGGGGCAAATACCGACCACAGACATCCAGTGCCAGCCTGCCCTTTTCCACCACTTCCAGATTCCTCTGTGGTTCGAGCCCTTCACTTGGTCTGATAGCTTCTGGGGGAGAAGGAGAGAGGGGCATGAGGGAGGAGTTCACCGCTGGGATTCCCAGCACTGGGCTCTGCAGTGGGGGTAGAGGCAAGGTGTAGAGGGGAATAGGGTGGTTGTGAAACCAGCCCTGGAAGAGCAGAGGAGGAGGGCCCCTGGTGAGAAGCTTTCCTAACAAAGATGTGTAAAGAGCCTCAGCAGAGGAGGGTCCTGAAGAAAGGGACATAGTTCTCCTCCCCCATCTGCCCTGCATTCCTGTGTCCTGCCGAGGGGGAGGGGAACCTGCAAGGCCGGTTTAACTCAGAGTAAACTCAGAGATGACTCTGATATGGTGGGTCCCTCCTGCCACCCCCCCCTGTGTTCTCCCACCATGGGCTGCAGCTGACTCATTGGGAAAATTAGATGGTGGGGGATTAGAGGATTAGGGAGCATTATGAGGGTCTGATGTCCTTTAGCTCTGCTTTATCATCCAGGCTGGAAGTTTCTTGTCCAGAGCTGAGGAAGGAGGCGTTTAGAATAGCAACTGAGGCAGGAGGGCGGGGATCTCTAGATGAAATAAGGAGGGACTGATTCCCATCCTCTTCAAGGACTGAGTGACACCAGTGTGTTGGAGAGAGGGGTCCATATTCAGTTGTACAATTAAGTGTGGTAAATAAATAAATAAATAAAAGGAGGGGTGAGCCAGGTGCAGTGGTGCACGCTTGTAATCCGGAGAGGCTCTCCGGCTCTCTGGAGGCTGAGACAGGAAGATGGTGAGTTCAAAGCCAGCCTCAACAATGGCGAGGCGCTGAGCAACTCAGTGAGACCCTGTCTCTAAATGAAATATGAAATAGGGCTGGGGACGTGGCTCAGTGGTCAAGTGCCCCTGTGTTCAATCCCAGGTACACAMAAAAAAAAAAAAAAAAAAAAAGGAAGGGGTGGTGTTGTAGAGAGGGTTGGAGGAGTGAAAGCATGAGGGGGTCACCTATGAGGAGGCCCTGGGAGCCTTGCTAAAGGGCCTCCTGGAAAAGGTGCAGAATGGGCATGTGGGGGGAGCTCCATACATAGTTTAGGTTTAAATCATGAAAGAGATGTGCTAAGCTCTTAAGGTGGGGCAGGAACCAAAAAGTGCAGTTTAGCAGACTGAGGAAAGACAGGGAAGGGGGTAAAGAGGTAGGTAGAACTTTGGAGGCAAAGGGTGAAGGGGTACAGCTGGGGTGTGGTGTGCAGGACCCAGTCTGAATCTTAAACGTGGGGAATTCCTCTCAGGCACCCCTGTGCATTTGAAGGCCCTGGCACTATGTGCAGGCTAGAGTTGGAGCTGTGCTCTGAGGGTTTGGGGCAGGCAGGGTGTGAGGGTGGATGTGCTGACACATTTTAATTTGCTTCAGTTGGGATTGTACTCAAAAGATTGCTCCCCAAGAATAAAAAGGAAAAGTCAGTGTCCAGAGCGCTTAGCTGCCCAGGATGCTGTAGGTGCTGAAACTTAGAGAGAATTCTAGAAGCTTCCTCATCTCCCAGTCCATCCTTCTCTAGCAAAGCCACCTCTCCCCACTAAGAGATGGCCTTACCTGTTTTCGTATCCTCTCTGGTGCTCCTGGTCTCTCCTCAAGTATAATTCCAATACCCCAAAGCCATCCCCATTACTGCACTGGACTCTGCCCAGAGAAAGGTGGCACCCAGGGGTGAACATAGCACTTGGTATCAAAAGATCTGGATTCCCACGGCTAGCTGCATGATCTTGAATAACGTGTATTAGCCTTCATCTCCTTGTCTGGAGGGTAAGGATTATAGCAATATCTGCTTCTGAGAAACTGATGTGACTCCATTTTTGAGAAACCAGCTTCTACCTCAAGGTCTGTCCTAAGGAAGGGGGCGTGACCCTTGTCCTGGGAAAAACCTACAGAACCTTTCTAGGCACATACCCACCCTGCTGAGTTGTTTGTCTGCAAATAATAGGAGAGATCTGTGGTGCCAGGTGTCCCTGACTCAGTTAGGCTAGGTGAGGACTCATAGCAACCTTCTAGCAACCTCCAATCAGCATGAAACAGGGAAAATACCTGGGATGCCAGATGACCCCCAGTAGTTTATGGTGGTTGATAACATGTTGGGAAACCATGTAGTTTAGCACGTACACCCCTCGTGGCTTAAACCTCTTGTACTAACCAATCACCCCTACCCAACTTGTTCCGCCAGTGAATGTGCTAATCAATGTTAAGAGTTGTTTGACTTTCCTGCGGTGTGAAATGATTTGCTGTGTGATGTTGTGATGCATAGAGTATCCCCCCAAACCTATAAAATCTCACTGAACAAAGGTCCGGGACTCACTCCCTGGGACCGCTGCTTCAAGACTGGTTGTGAGTCCAGGCTCGAGCTTACAATAAAGACTCTTGTGTGATTGCATCGGATTCAGCTCCTGGAGGTCTATTGGGATCCCACAAATTTGGCATTACACTTCAGGAGTTTCCATAGAGCTAGTAGTGCACGTCTGTAATCCTAGCAGTTTGGGAGGCTGAGGCAGGAGGATTTTGAGTTCAAAGCCAGCCTCAGCAACTTAGTGAGGCCCTAAGCAACTCAGTGAGACCCTGTCTCTAAATAAAATAT